CTTTGTCACAAGTTTGCACATTGTCCTTTGCATTTCATACCTTGTCCCTTATGTCAGGGTTTGGCCCCTGCTGCCTGTTTAGTGGGGCTGGAGGGTGCAGAGGCATCTGGGCTGGAGGGTGCAGAGGCATCTAGCCTGGCTGCCTCCTTGCTGGGCTTCTGCGGTGACGGTTTCCCAAAGGCTGGGCAAGGCTTGGGACTGCCCCTGCTGCTGGGTATCAGTTTTGGTCCTGCAGAGCTGCTGCTGGAGCTGGAGCCAGCAGCAGGGACGGCCGGGAGGGTGAAGCTGTGGCACTGCAGAAGATAGTGGTGCGCACATCCAGGAGCACACCCCTGACTGTGTCACACTCATGAATTCATGTTATCCCATGGATGAGCAGCAGCTTGCTGCTTTTCCCCTCCCCAAATTCCTGTGAAGGGGCTTTGTGACCGTACCTGTGGCGTCACCTCCCTGGATGTCGGATCGATGGAGAACTGCGGCAAAAGTACCCTTGCTGGGGAGCGTCGATGTCCCCTGGGTTACCCAGGTGCTGGTTTTGGGACCTCCCAGCTGCACAGCAGGTGGTCCTGCCCTGCCCCAGGAGAAGAGGAGAGCACCCAGGACAAGGCGTGGGGGGGAGCAGGAGAGCCCCAACCTTGTGTGACCCTCACCTGGGGCTAGAACCAGCATCCCCCCAAGCAAGAGGGAGTCTCAAGGCTCCGGCTCCAAGGTGTGGAAGCAACCTGCTCTTTCCTGGAGTGATGGGATAGGCAGGAGCAGTGCTGGAGCCATGTCTCAGGGGACAGCTGCCCATGGGACATCCCCATCAGCCTCTTTCCAATGGGACCGGCCCTGGTCCCCCCATTGCTCCAGCTGAGCCACAACCGAAGCTGCTTGAGTTCCCTCTGGGCAGGCAGGGATCTTTCCTCTCTTTCCTCCACCAAGGAAGAGCCGTATCAGTCACCAGTTCATGAAGCAGCAAGAAAAGGAGAGGGTACTGGGCAAAAGCCAGGAGGACCCCATTCCCACCCGTGCCCTCCCCAGGCACGTTGAGGAGTGTTCCCCATCTGAGTCGCAGCTGTGGGAAAAGCCATGGGAATGGGGTTTCCCCTGTCACACGGCAGCACCCCAGGCCATGCATCCCCACAGGGGGCAGAGCTGGGACACCTCCAAAATGGCACGACTCCCATTTCAAGCTACCAGAGAGAAACTGGTATCAGAGGACATGGAAGAGGAGTCGTGATCAGGCTTGGCATCTTGTGGGGGTGTCTCCAGGACTGGAGCACCCGGCTGGGATGCTGGGTGGCGAGAGGAAGGGCCTGGGTGCTGCCTTTGCTCCCTGCCCACGGGGATGCAGCATCCCAGTACCCTCGGGGGACAGCCCGGGGGGCTCCCTCCGCCATGCACCCTGCATGGATCCTGGCACTGGGAAACAGCATAGGAAAGGCACTTGTGTGATTCCTTGAATTCCAGCTCTTTCCCACCTGGTTGCACTTTGAATCAGGAGCGTGGGAGAGAAGCAGGTATACGCGGAGGGAGCTTTATAGGGCAAATTGCCATGGAGCGATTTAGGGACTTCAGCATCCCATGGGGCTCGGTGGCTGAGGGACGCTCTCACCTCCACAACCATCACCTCAGGAGATGCACTGAGCCCAGCCTAAAGCCAGCTGCGAACCTCCTCTCCATCGCAGGCACCTTCAACTGCCTGCAACGCCTCAGTTATCCGGGCTCGGCATGGCCAAGGCATTTTGGGAGCCACAAAGACAGCCAAGGTGATCTCATCCCACGAGTATTTTCTTGGCTCATTCGTCTTGCTCCAACGCCTCGCCGATAAGGCTCGGTGGTGAGGTCAGCATGAGAGTTTTGCATTGCGGAGCTGTGTGTCACCCGGGGAGCCTGAGACACCGGCACCTGCGCTTGCCCGCCGCTCCCATGGATCCAGCCAGAGCTGTGAGCCCTTGCCCCATGGCATGGCCGCAGCCGGGCTTTCCACCCGCACCCTCCCACCTGGGCAAGAGGGTCCATGCAGGCAGCCCCCGCGGTGCCCCTGCCACTGCCTGCTGCCCACAGGTGCAGCCTGGCGTGGGGCTGCCGGCTACTATTTCACCTTCTCCAGAGGAAAACAAGATTAAGGCTTTTCTTACCTCCAGCATTAGAAAGAAGAAGAGGAAACTCTTCAGATCACTTTCCAAAAGGGCGTTATCAGCCCAGGAGGGGTTTCCTGCTGCCAAAAATAGAGCGGTGTTAAGATAGGAAGGGAAGCAGGATGACGCAGGCTTAGATAAGGCCGGCAGACGAGCTGGGAGAGGCAGCCTGGCTGCCAGGGGAGCTAGGCTGGCTCCCGTGGGGCTCAGGGTGGGTCACCCCATCCCCTTGGGAAAGAGCATGGCAGAGCCACAGCGGGCCCCCCCCCGGAGCTGCTGCTGCCGGGCTTCGTATCTCAGAGCAGTGCATCCGTCCGTCCGTCTGTCCATCCATCCATCCATCCCTCCATCCATCCATCCATCCATCAGTCCACCTGGTGCTGGGCCTGGGCTCGTGTTTCCAGGCTCAGCATGTGCTTGGGGACACAGGGACGAGAGCCATGCCCTCCTCTCCTCCCCACAAAGGGGTAGACCCTCCCTGGGGTTTCGGGGTCTCCCTACACCGCAGGGCTGAATCCCACCTCCGAAAATCCAGCCAGGCAGATTTGACTTATCACTGGTAAAACTGGGCTGAAAAACTTTTTTTTTGAGCTCTGTAACTGTTTGATGAGCTCCCAGGCGCTAAGTACAGGCTTAGGACCTGCCTGGGTGGGGATACTGTTAGGCTTTGTTAAGCCCAAAATCCAGATGGACCATGCCAGAGCTGCGTCCTTCATCTCTGGGTCTGTAACGCAGCGCTCCTCTTCCTCCAAGCACCAGCTCCTTCTCCCTGTGCACCTTCTCTGCATGCTCCCCTGCCTTTGAGCCTGTTACCTGCTCCACATTGGGGATTTATTTTTTTTCCCAATTTTTGGGAAGAAAACCCAGAGGGAGAGAGCTGTGCCTGCAGCCCCCTGCCTGCTATCACATCCCGTGGCTTTTGGGGTGCTTCAGGTGACCTGGGGGTGATACTGGGGTGGGATGGGGTGGATTTCACACCAGCAGAAGCAGCAAAGCAAGGAGACGAGGCTGGAGACCACTGTGTCCCCCCTCCCCAGACCTGCCTCCCAGGTCTGTGCCGGTTGGAAGATGCCGAGTTCCCTCTCGCAAGAATGGGAGCTTAATGTCCCGTAGCTAATTAGCAATTTTCCCCTGCACCTGCCTTGCTGCCGCTGCCTCCCCTCTGACCATCTGCTGTCTCGGGGCCTCGCAGGCAGCCACGGCTTTGGGCTCCACACCAGCAGCCTTGGGAGCTTGTGGCCAAGACAGAGCTTGTGTTTCTCTGCTTTGGGGTTGGGGTTTTCGGCGTCCCCCCAAAGACGAGCTGGGACTCCTTGGTGTTGAAAGGGGAAAAGGAATTTTGTCCCTGGTGGCTTCCTCCATCCTCTCGTGTCCCCCAGCGCGGTGGGTGGCCAAGCCTCGCCGTGGTCCCATGGCCGTGCTGCAGACGGCATCTGCCCGAAAAGGGAAACTGAGGCCAGGAGAGAGGCAGGGGCTCACCCAAAGGTGCTGAGCCCAGCGCCTGACAGGCAATAGCTGGCAGGGACGGCTGTGCTCGCAGCGAGCCGATATCCCCCAGCTGGGGCGATGCGAGGAGGGGGGGCGTGAGGGCAGAGCAGATGGGGCCGGCAGGTTTTTGAGGGGCTGGTCTGGTCCTGCAGACAATGGCGCGTCTCTCTGAGCTGCGATTAAACAAGAAGATTTATGCTGCCGGACAGCTGGTGGGCAGAGCTCGCCGGCCCCCCCATCCCGGCAGCTGCGAGCTCTCCGCACGCATGCGGTGCACACCGGCCCCGAGTGTGCTCCTGCCTCTGCCCCCCAGGCCCCTCGCACGCCTGTGAGCGCCCGTGACACACATGTGGCCCCTCGGACACCCCAGGCACACGCTCCCGGGCCGAGGCCGGCTGAGCGCCCCGAGCATCCCTGCATGCTCGTGGGGCGCTTCCTGCACGCTTGAGGGGCTGGGAGCGACACCATCGGGCCTCACGGTGCCGGGGGGCTCCGGTGGGCACGGGAAAGGCCTGGACGGGTTTTGGGGTGATTTTGAGAAGGGTGGGAGTGGGGATTGGGGATGCACATCCCGCTCCCTCCTCTCCTCGGCGGTCTGGAGCCGCCAGCCTGGGCCAGCTGCGGCTGGCCCCC